AGAGTGACGTGTTTCCAGCAGTACCGTATCGTGCGGAGTTGTTCCGCTGCCCTGAATCCCCGTGTCCTCTTCCTGTTCATCCTCCCCTCGAAGCCCCTGCTCTATGGATCTTACGGCCTCCATTGTTTTGCCTTTTCCAGAATGTCATGTGGTTGAAATTTTGCAGCTTCTGGAACTGGCTTCTTTCACTTAGAAATATGCACCTGAAGCTTCTCCATATTTTTCATGGCTTGATGGCTCATTTCTTTTCAGCACGGAGCACTGTTCCAACGTTTGGATGTGCCACAGTTTCTTTTCCCCACTCACCTTTGGAAGCACATCATGGCTGCTTCCAAGTTCTGGCAATTATGAAGAAAGCTGGTGTGTACATCTGTGTGCAGGATTTTTTGTGGACATAAGATTTCAGCTCCTTTGGGTAAATACCAAGTAGCACGACTGCTGGATCACATGGTAATAGCGCATTTAGTTCTGTCAGAAGCTGTCAGACTGTCTTCCAGCAGCCGCAGCGGAGGGGCCTGTTTCTCCACATCCTCGCCAGTGGTTGGTAGTGTCTGTGTTCCGGGTTTTAGCCGCTCTGGTGGGTGTGTGGTGGCATCTTGTTTTAATTTGCAATTTCCCTGTCGAGGGGGAGGACGTGGAGCATCTTCCTGTATCTCGTTTGCCATCTGTAGGTCTTAGGTGAGGCATCTGTTCAGGTTGTTTTCTTATTGTTGAATTTCAGGCGTTCTTGGTATATTTTGGATGATAGCCCATTATCAGATGTGTCTTTTGCAAATATTTTCTCCTTACTAATTCTTACCAGTGTCCCCGACGTCCTTTCCTGCCCCGGGACCCTCACGGCTCCTTGGGCTTCTCTGCTTGGTGGCAGCTGCTCAGTCTTTCCTGGTCTTTGATGAACTGACACTCTGGAGAGCGCTGGTCCTTGCCTCATGGATGGCTCTTTAGTTTGCGTTTGCCTGGTGTCTCCTCGTGATGCCATCCAGGCTGTAGAATCTCAGCTAAATGCCACAGGCCGGCTGGCACGTCCTCAGAGTGCTGGATTGGGAGGCAGGTGGCATCCACCTGGCTGCTGCTGCTGCTGATTTTAAAGCTCGGTTTATGCAGGTCTTGCTACTGTCAAGTTAGCGTTTCTGCTGATGCCGTTTCTCGCATTCGCCCAGCTCTGGTTCGCCCTGCTTTCTCCTGACCTTCCCTCCTCTGCACACCTCGGTTCCGCACTCCCGCCTCCTGCCTTGCATGGGTTCCTTGCTGCGTTTCTACCGTCCCCCGCTTGGACTGTTGCGGTGGATTTATTTCTGAGAGAATTGTGTCTCTTCCTTACACTTTTCTTAAGTCCAGTCAGCTCTCACTTCCTTCTGGTTTTGTATTTATATTTTTATTGTTGTTATAAAAATTTGTCTTCTAGTTTTTGAGGTTCTGATTTGAGGTGATTTTGATATCCTTAAGTGCACATTTAAGCAGATTTTATGGGATTGAGAGTGTTGTCTTAAGTTTACTTGTTCCAGGGTGTGTTTGTTGCCGATGTGTATGGAGCCCCATTCTCTGACTCTTCTCTGGTTTTGTGGTGGCTCTGGGTGGCTTTGCCGCTTCTGTCCCTTTGCCCTGGTGGCCTCGGGGTGTTTGCTGGATCTGTGGTTCCCCGGCGCCCTCTGCTGGCTGCATGGGGAAGTCGGGGTCTAAGCAGATCCTTGCGGGTGTGCAGGACCCACATGGTCCTTGGGCTGTCCTGGCCGTTTCCTGCAGGACCCAGCACTGCCCCTTTTCCTTCTCTTCTGCCTCACTACCCACTCGCCAAACGGCTCCTCTCAGGACATGCCATGTTGCCTTGATGACCCTTTCCCGTCTCATGCTCGGCAGTCCCTGCCCTGTGCTCTATGCTGACCACCTTGGACACCTCTCAGGCCCTCGGACTTGAGGTGGCTTAACCTTTCAGCAGTGGCTTCCTATGGACCTGCCCCGCTGTGGCCTTGCAGGGAAGGGATTGGGGGTCAGGCTTCAGCGTGTGTTGACTCTGTGCTGACTTGCGGTGATTTTGAAGTCTGGGTGCCCTCGTCCGCGCCCTGCGCAGGCAGCGATGCTGCTATAGACCTGTGTTCTTTGCTTGTGCTGAGCTGTGATTGGAAGAAAGGCTGGAGACATCAGTTGCGCAGCCAGGTCACCCTCAGCCTCCCGGAAGTGGTATTCACTGTCTAGGCTGTGTGTCCGAGTTTTCCGTTACTACTGATCTCCTGGAAAATGTGCCGCAATGACCGGGCCTCGCGTGTGGCGCCCTTTGAGTGGTTAGGCATGGAGGGGGTGTGCATGCATTCAGGGCAGAGCAGCTGGAGCGTGTGCTGCACGGGCCATTGTACCTGCTGCTGAGGCGGCTGTGGGCGCAGCTGTCGCCACCCGTGGCTGGGGCTCTGTGGTGGTGGAGGTAAGGATGGCCCAGTGGGCTCCCACCCTAGGAGCAGACTTGCTCCTCCGGGACAGCCCAGACGCTGCTGGTGCGGGTCCTGACATTCGGGCAGCACAGACCCTGCACCAGGCGGATCTGTTGATGGTGACTCTTTTGCACTGGGCTTCAACTTCAAGTGCCTGTGGCACGTGCATGGTGGAGAAATCGCCTCCTTTCATTTGGCCCTTTTAAGAGCCCTGTGACAGGGCAGGGGGTGCCTGTGGTGCCATTTTTAGAGGCGGAGACCCAGCTCAGGGAGGGTTCACGTGGCATGTCCAAGGTCGTGGGGATTTATGTTTGCTCACTCGCTTGCTTATTCTCTAATCCCAGTGCCTGCACCTAGAAAACCCCAAGCCCCTGTGTTTTGAGTTGTTTAGGCCGAGGCCCCCTAGGGCTTCATGTCTGTGCTGGCCCTCGTGGATCTGTGTTGTCCCAGGCCCTGCTTTGCAACATTGCGCCTGTGTGTGTCACACAGTCCCTCTAGAGTGTCCATGGGTGCCCTGGCTCTGGTCCCCACAGACGCTTTGTCCTCCAGCCTCCCATTGGGGTTGGAAGCCCTCACTCTCCTCCCAGCAGGCTCCATGACCAGTCCCCCGGGCTTCTGTGCCCACCATGGGCATAGCCCATGAGGGGTTTCAATGAACCTAGATAGGAAAGCCGCTGCCACTGCTGTGTGGGCTGGGCACAGAAGACCCTGGTCCGCCGGCAGCCCCAGTCCTGAGAACGGAGGGAGAGGTTCCCATGAGATCTCCACTCTGTCTTCAGAGCAATTTAGCATAGGACCTTCTGTGGTAGCCAAACTCCACATAGAATTCTGTGAGCAAAGACCCTGTTGGAAAGACAAGGGAGTGTGGACCCTCCTGCCTGGGGTGAGGCGGGTGGGGAGGGTGGAGGGCACTGTGTAGAGAGGGGCAGTTGGAATATTGGGTAGGTTAGATTCGCGGGTAAGCTTGTTTTTCTTTTTCTTTTTTTTTTTTTAAAAGATTTAAGAAAAAAATTAGTTTTATTTATTAAACTCATAGAACCTGGAGAATTTATGGTTTTCATTCATAGTTGTACCTTCAGAGCCTGGCACAGAAGCAGGGCCCGGCATCAGGTTCTCAGTGTGCTGGGCCTGGGGGTGGCCTCAGCACCCAGCAGGCACTGCCTCGCCCCCTGCCCTTGGTTGCTGCTGACACTTGCATTAGAATATTTTGATTTTTGACTCTCAGCATCCCTTAAATTGTGCTCCCAAGATGAGCGTCTCACTTTCACCCCAGCCCTCTTTCTTGGCTGCTGAGCTATTTTGAGGTAGACACATCAAACCGCAGTCTGGAATCTATAGCAGGTGTCACTGGGTCACAGCCTGCTTGGGTGGTGCCTGTGAGATCCCCGCCCTCACTCTGCAAACTGTCACCCGCCCAAACTTGATCAGGTGCGGATCAGTTTGTAATGAGCGAGTGTGGAGCCTGCAGAGGCTTCAGTAGCAGAGGGACCCAGGGCGGATCTGAAGAAGGGCCCTCAGGCTCAGGGCATCTGAAGGGAGACGGTGCCCTCTACTGTTTGAGTCTCATAGGAATAAAGAAAATGCCATCGGTTAGAGACCATCACACAGGGCAGCTGTGCTCCCAGCCTGAACTGATAATGGCAGAGGGGGGATGGGAGGAAGGGCAAGATGAGGGCACCAGGTCGGGGCAGCTGGGCCTCGCCTGCAGCTGCCCACAGTTTGGCTCCCATGCACAGAGCAGAATCCGTTACTTCCATCATCTTAACTGCGGTTGAGAACGTGCTGTAAAGATGCCATCGTAATCTTTGTACTTAAATATACATGAGCAACTTTAACCCCCATGGCAGGCCTTGGTTTTCAGCCAAATGGGGAAACAGCAGCTGTTGGGAGTTTGGCATGTGCCCTGCTGGGTGGTGTCGTGCAGGTGTTGTCTGCTGAAACCACAGGAACACTCCACAAGAACTGGCACCCAGCAGCTATGCTTCTCCAAGCAGGAAGGTGTCTGAGGCGGCTCAGGACACAGCTGGACACCTGGAGGGGGCTGGCAGAGGCAGGGTCTCTGCAGCCAGGGCCCAGCCAGAGGGAGGGTTGTGCAGGGTTGTGGAGGAGCCGGGGATGACTGTGGGAACCACTGAGCAATCCAGCCTTCTTAGCTGACCCAGCACACCCAGTGCAGGAATTCAGCAGCCAAGCAGGGATGACACACAGAGACACAGTGTGGCTTCTGTGCCCTCTGCTGCGGTCGCATGGAGGGTGACCCTGGGACTGCTCAGCCATCCGCCTTGGGCGGGTGCCACCCCCTGGTCCGTCCTCAGCCCCGGGCCTGGTCTGAGTACTGTGGGGCATTGGGCAGTGTCTGAGTCTGCCCTATCCTGAAGGCACAGTGTGGGGCCTCCTGCCCTCACCCCTGCCCTGGCAGGCCCTGAACGGCTCCTCCTGTGGGCCTGCCGGAAGGGGCCCGGCCGGGCCTGGCCTCCTCTGGCATCAGGGTACTTGGGACAGCCAACAGGCGGCACCCCTTGCCAGCCCCGCTTCGAACCCCACTAACACAACTGTCTTTTCCTTTTTCGTCACCAGGGGTCGGGCTCCGGCTCAGTGGTCCCAGGCAGCTCGGGTGTTGGAACCCCCAGGCAGTTCACACGACAAAGAATTACACGGGTCAACCTCAGGGACCTCATATTTTGTTTAGAAAATGAACGAGAGACAAGCCATTCACTGCTGCTCTACAAAGCATTCCTTAAGTGACACAGGAGGACGCCTGGGGACTTTTATATATTTGCAGATTACGCCTTTTTGTAACAAGCAAATGGGATATTGTTTAAAAAACAGCCACCTCTTTACAATGGAACAGTTTTATATTCCTGTTTCTAAATCAACTCTTCAGTGTGGAAGAAAATACGTTTCTGTAACAGAGAGAACACAAAGGCCTGTGGATACTCTTAAAGGACAATTAAATCTTAACTCATCTTGATTGAGTGGCCTTCTTGCCAAACAAGCCATATATAAAGACTGATGGAATCGTTAGCAAATAATTAGCTGCCCTCTGTCAACTCATAGCAGTTTCTGCTATTTGTGCATTTTGGTTTAGTTCTACCTAACTTACCATGTAGGTGTCTGTCTACAGCCGATGACCTCATTTCCTTTATTTTATTTTTGTAATAGTCAGTTGGCAAAGCAAACTGATTTTTTAGACTATTTATCTTCCTTCCCCTCTCCTCCCAACTCCTTCCCTGCCCTCCCCTCGCCTCCCCTCCGCTGAGAGTCCTGCAGGAGGACACAATTCATCTTGGCGCCCCCACCTCAGAGTGTAATCACATTTCTGCTTAGTAGCGGCAGAGCCCAGCAAAGGTGGGCTCCTTCTGAATGTGTGGTCAGCATCTGTACAAATGCATTTTATTTGCTATAGTTTGTAAAGTTGTAAAGTTAAAAGAGATGAAAACCTTTTCAGCATAAATATATTTTACTTGCACTGTGTTTTTTAGCTAAAAGTGAAAACCTAGATTAAATAAAATCAAAGTTGAGAAGAATCATCAAGACTGTTTCTCGGTGTGAATCAAGTGTTGAAAATGGTTGGTGTATTTTGTCAGTAACTGTACATACTTTGGCACATGACAGAATGGCTATGTAAACTAGAACTATTTTGCTAAGACACTGTATGCAAGCCTTGGGCCGACTTGACAGGCGTCCAGAGCAAAGCCCTTCTTTGTACCTATTTTTTTATTACAAATATACTAATTGGTTCTTTATATTTTCAGAGGTTATTGTATGAAATTGTCTATTGATAGTACTTTTATGACTGTAAATACTCCGGCTTTCTCCATGTGAATTCTCACGTTAGACTTTAATTCGAGCGCGTGTGAACTGAACGCTGATCAGTATTTTTTATCAACACCTGAGAACTGTTACACCTTTTATTTTGTCTTTTAGGAAATCCCCGTCTTTCCATTTTTTCATGTAAATTTTGCACAGTTACTTGTTCATATGTAAATATTTTACTTTCAAAAATGAAGTTTTTAATTGCTATTGTTTTATATAGGATTGAAAGAAAATTAACTCCTTTATTAAAAACAAATTTATCTGTATTTGTTTTGCCTGTTTTTCCCCAGTTTTCCAGTTTTAGATTTTGCTTGCCAGACTCCACTCTGGCTCTGCTGAGGTGCTGGTTTCTGAACCACCTGTTGGAATCTGTAGCTGAGTCCCAGTAGAGCCGGGAGAAGGAACTTTCTCTGTGAGGACAGGGCCCGGGCTGCCCTGTGTGTGGAGTCTGAGGGCTGAGGGCTGAGGGCCGGGCTTACCTTCCATTCTCGCAGGTGGAGATGAGCTGGGCACAGCTGGGAGGGGCGGGGGGAGGCCCGGGGCAGGGGGAGGTAGACACAGAAACACACCTGTCGAGCCCGGCTGAGGGCCCCAGCCCTCCTCCTGTGGCAAAAGAAGGGGTCTTCAGGGTGGTTCATGGTACAGGTTGGCCGCTCCTGGTGGGCCCTCAGAGGCTCAGCGCAGATGTGCACTGTTCCCTGCCTTCGACCACCTTGGGGAGCAGTCGCTGCCTTGATTGAACTTGGCCCCCCAGTGTGACATTCACTCCGCCTGGTGTGACGGACCTGCAGGGACCTGCAGTGACCGGCAGGTTTACTCACCAGCTCCGCAGGAGCTGGAGATGCAGCTCCTGTTCGCAGGCTGTCACACTGCCCCCTGCTGGGGCTGCCGGGGCAGGGAGCACGGACCGTCCCACAGCTTGGGAAGCGGAGTTGGGGATGAAGGTGCCGGCAGAGGGGGTTTCTCCCCAGGCTCTGGGGGAAGGGTCTGTTCTCCCTGTTCTGGCAGCTGGCTGGCATCTTTGGGTTCCTTGGCTTAGACACGGTGCCTGCTCTCTGCCTCCCATTTCCACAGCCTCCCCCTGTGCATGTTGGTCTCTGGGTCCAGCCTCCCTTCTCTGTAAGGACCCCACTCTTGCTGGATCCGGACCTGCCTGTACAACCTCATTCTGAGTAGATTACCTCTGTAAAGTCCCTAACTCCAGATAGTCACATTCTGAGGACTGGGGGTAAGGAGTCCCCCATATCTTTTTTTTTTGAGATGGAGTCTCACTCTGTTACCCAGGCTGGAGTGCAGTAGCGTGATCTTGGCTCACTGCAACCTCTGCCTCCCAGGTTCAAGCAGTTCTTCTGTCTTAGCCTCCCCTCTCCTCCTTTACCCTCCTCCTCCTCTGCTACTACTCCTTGGTAGCTGTAGCTACAGGCACACACCACCACGCCTGGCTAATCATTTGTATTTTTAGTTTCACCATGTTGGTTAGGCTGGTCTCAAACTCCTGACCTCAGGTGATCCACCTGCCTTGATGTCCCAAAGTGCTGAGAATTACAGGCGTGAACCTCCTCGCCTGGCCTGCCCTATATCTTAAGGAGGATACAATTCACCCTGGACACCTGTGGCCACACTGAGAGTTTCAGCAGGAAGCACCGGTGGGTGCCCTCTCCGCCTTCCTGCTGAGGCTGTGCCAGGGTCATTCACAGATGGGGTCACACCTGTGCTTTCCAACTGTGACCCGTACCCGTGTTTCACCAAGTTCTTGGCCTGAAATGATCAGGTACAAAGGGCAGTTGCATGTGGATTTCTGCAAGTGTGAATGATTTTACTCCAGCCCTTCTGCTCTTCCTGCTGGGTCCAGTCAGCCAGCCTCGTGACTTGAGGCTTAGGCCAGCCTGAGAGGGATGCCCCTCAGTGAGGCCCTGAAGCAGGAACTGGTCTGCAGGCGTGTTCATTGTACTCTGTTCCTGAGACCCATGGCTGCTGTTTCATGTCTCGTCACAGGCTTGCTGGCTGCCCTGTCTGACCTGGCTGTTTGCACAGGCCTCAGGCATGGGCAGCACAATGAGGAAGTGGCAGGGATGGCTATTCTTGCCTCCTTTGCTCCCCACATACAGGCAGCTCCAGTTGGGCAACAAGGCAAGAAAAAGGCATCAAGTGTGGAGAGGAAGGTGAGCCAAGAATTCAGAAGTGACACAACCCTGTGCCTTGGCAGTCTGGACGTACCTGCAGACACAGCACTGAGTGTGGCATGTGAACTCAAAAGAGGGCCTGCAGTTCCATGCACTAGCAGCCAACAACCTGAGGGTTACAAACATGCCATTAACAAGAACATGGAGAAAGCATGCCTAGGAATACACAGGATGAAAGATGGGTAAGATCCTTACCCTGAGACTGGAGAAATCAAAGCCTTCAGTGGAGGTGGACACCGCAGTGCTGGTGGGGGAGACTCGCTATTGCTGAAGACAGCAAGTCTGTCCAAACAGATAAACAGATGCAATGCCAGCCCAAGGAACACCCAGCAGGATTTTCTTAGAAACTGACAATTCAATTCCACAAATTTATACAGAAATGCAGAGGACTTCAATAGCCAAGACAGCCTAGGACAGAATGGAGCCCTTTATCCTCTCACATTTGAAGACCTCCTCTGAAGTGACGGCTATCAGGATGCCGTGGTGTCAAAGCAAACACAGGCATGGCCAGAGGGATGGAAGAGTCCAGAAATAGGTCTGCACGTTACGCCACGAGGTTTCAGACGAAGGCCCTGGTGCAGTTCTGTGCCCTGTGGAGGAAGCGTGAGCCTGGCATCCATCGTCACACTGTACAGAAACACAAGCATGAGGTGGGTCAGAGACCTGGAAAGCATCAGAGGTCTTCATGACTGGGAGTGGGCAAGGATTTCTAAGGACATAAAAGGCACAATTCCTGAAGAAAAATGGATAAATTAGGCCTCCAAGCTACAGCCTTTTACCCACCAACATGTGCTGGAAGGTTGGTACTTCAAGGTCAGAGTGAAACCTTGTCTTTTCAGCAATCTCATCTGTGGTCCATGGTATGGGAGGTTCCTGCATGGCAGATTTTCTTTAGACCGGCTTATTTGCCACACTTAACGAATTCCACAATCTGTCATTTAGATTTTGTGAACACAGTGGGAAAAAAGTGTCTATTCAATTTGTACCCTGTGAAATACATTGTTTCTGAAAAAGTTTAGATGCTATTTTTTTTATTGCTTTGCTATGTGACTGAGAGAAAAAATAAAATGCCATGTTAATTTATCTTTAGATTGTTAAAAAAAGGTTTCTTTATTAAGTAAAAAGGCAAGCCACAGACTTGGAGAAATATTTGCAATATTTATCCATGACAAAGGAATAAAAAATTCTGCAACTCAGTAATAAAAAGACAACACATTAAAAAATGTGTGAGACACATGAGCAGGTGCTTTAGAAATACACAATTGGCCAGTAAGCAACTGGACAGGTGCTCACCATTACTGCTCCTTAGATAAATGCAGATAAGACCATAGCCAGAATCCTGTGTGCCCACCCTCGGGGCTCAAATCTGAAGGGCTGTCATCCAGTGGTGGTGTGGTGTGTGACATAGTGACGAAGCTGAATGCACATCTATCGGGTGTGGCACAGGAAGCTGAATGCACATCTGTCGGGTGTGGCACAGAGGAAGCTGAATGCACATCTATCCAATGTGTGACACAGAGGAAGCTGAATGCAGGCCTGTCCTGTGTCCTACAGTGATGAAGCTTTGAATGCAGGTCTGTGCTCTGTGATACAGTGATGAAGCTGAAGCTTCTAGGCCAACGTTGAGAAGAGTGTGGTCCAGGGCCCTTGTCACCTTTCCATCTCCAGAGGAAGATCCGTGCCTCAGTCGACTTTCTGATCCTTTGCGTGTAAGTCCCGCGCCTGGCTGCCTGGGCCTTCCTAAGGCAAGCCCCTGTGTTCTCTCCTGACACTTGTACCCTGGCTCCTTTAGCCCAGCCCCCAGTCTCCCTTCTGAATTGAGAGAGGGAAGCAGTACGTGGCAGTGGGTGTGGTTCCATGGGAAGCAGCACTCTTGTGCCTCTGGGGGTTTTTGTGTGTTTTGTCAGCTGCCCCCTGAGCCATGGGGGGCTTTCCTTCTAGTTGTGCTCATGTTGTCAAGGTGTGCTCCTGTTTTTTTTTTTTTTCTTGGAGACAAGGTCTCTTGTCCAGGCTGGAGTTCAGTGGTGCAATCACAGCTCACTGCAGCCTTGAACTGTAGCTGGGACTACAGGTATGCGCCACCATACCTGGCTTGTTTTTAAAATTTTTTGTAGAGTTGGGGTTTCTCTATGTTGCTAGGGTTGGTGTTGAACTCCTGGGCTCAAGGGATCCTCTTGTCTTAGCCTCCCAAAGTGCTGGGATTATGGGCGGGGAGCCACTGTGCCTGGCCTAGGCGGGCTCATTTTCACTGGGAGTGTCTGCTTTCTGGTCATTACCTACCAGTGCCTGCTGTTCTTGAATTACTGCTGCCTGGAGACATCTTCCTGTTCTATCTGGAAAACTTCCTGGTCCTACAGCCTTGTGAACAGCTGATCAGGGCCGGTGAGCCAAGTAGAACTCAGATCCAATCCAATTGAACAATGGTGGAGTTCACAGTGCACATTGTGTCCCATAAACTCTCAGCTCCATGCCCTGTGACAGCCTCTTCTCTGGCCTCAGCCCACCCTGCACCAAACTCCCCCAGCTCATCTGCCTTCCTTTTGTTGCAGCATACCCATCCTGCAGGGCCCTTGCCATGCCCCAGGGTGGGCGGGGTGCCCCTCTTCTGGCCTTCACAGAAAAGGAGAGGGCAGGAGGAGGGCGAGAAGGGAGCTCTTGTCTCATTAGGCACAGGAACACTCTAGAAAGCTAACTTCAGCAAATCAGCATGATGTTGACATGCGATTGGACAGAGGTTGGTGGGACAGAGCAGGAGCTCCAGAAAAGATCCCCGTGTATCTGAGGACTTAATACATGGCCGAGGTAATATTTGAATTCAGAATAAAAGGGCGATTTAGTAAATGGCACCAGTGTGACACTCTGTCATCTGAAAGACAAGGAAGCAGACTTCTCCCCCGATGTAGAGAAGTCCCCAGTGAATTCAACTGAAGGGGAAAAGAATTCCTAAAACCCAGAAGAAAATCGGGAACTATAGGTATTGTTACTTCTTTGTACCTCTTTGAGTCTTTACATCTCTTCCTGCTACATTTTAAAGCATTTTTATAGTGTGTAGTTTGGCCTAATAAAGTATTTTTATGGCAAAA